ATTCAGAGAAAATAGCAGAAATATATTGATTTACAACGATAATGCTCAGTCGAGTGGGTTTTGCAATGTGAAATATATGTAACCGGCGAAAAAAATATAATCCAACTCATACGCAAATACAGCCATTTCAATATGCATGAACAGTCAGTCAGTAATCAAAACATGTTACACAGTTATTCGATATTGCATGCATGTAAGGCCGCGAGATTCTTATTCGTTAGATTTAAAACGCACGTGACAGAATTGCACACTCGCCCCTAAAACTTTATAAGTAAGGTTTATCAGTTTTTAGGATATCATAGCATCATTGGCGGATGTAAGTAATAGCATGTGCATATAGTCAATTAAATGAGCATGTACGGCAAAGCAAAGAAGAAAAAAAAACACAGCCAATTTATTTTATATGATAAATGTCCATGGAATAATACCATAGGCTACAGAATATTTCAAGTTGTGAAAGAGGTAAATTAATATAGCACACACTCTAGCAAAACTCTTTCCAAAGTTTATTCGTGAAACGTGGAGAAAGAATCACCAACACGAGATAGTTTAAACTTTTAAAACGAGAGTGAATAACTATTATCAGGGTCGCCTATGAAGTACAAAAATACGCAGCAGCTCAAGGTTTTGATTAAGAGAGTACGGTTTGCTTGCTGAAATCGAGAGTAAAGAACCATCATCAATCATTAAATCTTTATGGCGCTGGTTTTCATCGTAACCACAAGCATGGGTTTTAACGTTACAAAGAGCAACTTGCCAGCTTTGCAGAAATGGGATTATCCTCATGTTATTAAATCGTATTTGTTGGATTTACAAAGCAGGCCACAGAATTAAACACTTGCCCTTGAAACTTTAAATCTAAAGTTTTTTAAATTATCATAACATCATTGACGCATGGAAATAATACTTCACAATATCTTCAATCTTATTAAAATTGTTACTTTCTAGCGTTAGCTTCAAATATTCTATCATTCCGCCTATACCGGTTTTCACTAAAAATATTATTAAAACATTATTAATTATATATTTTTTAAAATCTTCCCTGATCCCTACAATAAATAAAACCAACAAATATTAAAAATATTTTCGGCTGGCGTTAGCCCTGAGTTAAGGTAAATGAATAATAACATTTTGACTATGACTCATATTGCTCTTGACTAAAAATAATGTAACATTTTAAATTATTCCTATTCAATCTGTTCAAAATCTTTCTCGCATCGAACCCTGAAAATATTGTTTGATTTATTCTGCAAAACATAGGTTATTGAGAGGCTGTGTAAAGAACAATCATCAATCAATGAAAATCTTTGTGGCGCTGGTTATCATTGGAACCACAGGCATAACTTTTACCTTTAACATAGCAACTTGACTGCTATGCAGTAATTGGATTATATTCATGATAGTGAAAGACAAAAATAAGATCCGTATGCGACTGATCGGCGACCTTCAAAATTACGAAAATTTATTGTTAATTATACCACTAAACGGCATATCTATTTGATATATTAAAAACTTCTCTCGATTTCCAAACGTGAAATATATTTCCGTCAGTTCTGCTACGATTGTGGATCAAGCACAGACAACGAGAGTAAATAACTATTGCCATCAATCACTATACCTTTCATGACAGTGCATAGAAGATTATTTAACTTGAACACAATGAAATTTTGACCAACAACGATTTTTCTTCCTTGAATGAATCGCTTGTTTTCTATTCAACTCTCATTGGCGACCTTTTAGAAGTTTGCTCGAAAATTTAAATTAATAGGATCATGTGATAATTTTTTAAATAGCTTTCCTGGATACAGGAGAATTGTAGTAGAGCTTATTACTAATTGCACATCGGAATACCGTCTGGAAATTTTCGAAGAGCGCTTATTAAAATAACTGATATGCTCAATATCTTCAAATGGAAATAATAATCCTGATTACCTCACACGAAAAAATAAACACAAATTTTATAAAAGACAATAACGGTCATTCGAGTTGGTTTTGCGATGTGACATATGTGTAACCGCCGGATAAAATATAATCCAACTCATACGCAAATGCCGCTATCTCAATATGCTTGAACAGTCAATCAGTAATCAAAACATGTTACACGGTTATTCGATTTTGTATGCATGAAATGCTGCGAGATTCGAATTTGTTGGATTTACAACGCACGCGACAGAATTGCACACTCATCTTTAAAACTTTGAAACTAAAATTTATCAGTTTTTCAGTTATCATAGCACTATAGTTGCACGGAAATAATAGTTCACAATATCTTTAATCTCAATTAAAATTGTTACCCTTCATAGCGTTGGCTTCAAATATTCCATCATTTCGCCTATACGAGTTTTCACTATAAATATTAGGACATTATTATTCATATTCGTTCGTAATCTTACAATGAAGGTTTATTCTGTTTTAATAAACATAAGGTTATGGAGCGGGGTCGCTTTTAAAGTACAAAACACCCAGCAAAACGAGTTCCATGTATATATCACTTAACCTTTAAAATGAGTCTTCTTTTCAAAGTTTTATTGTGAAACGTGGAAAAATAAACAGCAACACAAGGTTCGAACTTCTTTGAAAACGAAAGTAAATAACAATTGTTATCAATCACTAAAACCGCCATGGCATTGATTGGAGCAACATTTTATTTTTGGTCAGAGCTATGCAACAAACTGGGTTGAATTTATTTTAATTAAACCAACAAATATTGAAACTATAGCCTATATAGTTGGCGTTAGCAGTTAATGAAAGTAACTGAATACTAAACGTCAGCAACAACCTTTAACTGGTTTTCACTGAAAATCTCTCCAAAATCCTTCTGTTTTCTGTAACGAGGCCGTCAAATTTAAAACGGCGCACCGCGAGGTTGATGCTCAGAGGTCCAGTTGTGTGAGGTCCAATGTTTATTTGATAAGGCAGGTCACACGTATTGTGAAAATTGTGGTACGAACGTTGTGCTATCAAAATTTGGGATTTTGACTAAAGTTGTGTATATGCATAATTATCATTGTCACAGGACCTGTGAAACCTGGGACAGTGGTGGGTAATAACAATTCGTTTCGGCCTCCGTGACTATATATGAGCATTGAACTTTTTTTCTATTTATGTTAGTTAGATAATGTAAAGTAAATTTAATCAGAATCACAGATAAACTAATGTGAGACAATAATCAATTTAAGGGTAATCCAAACCCTGGCATTCCGTGCCGCCCGCTGAACAATTTTAGCGTACACTAAACCATCGGCAGATATTTGTTTTAATGGCAGAACTTTTTTGTTTTTTAGCTATTCCAACTCGGGCCGGGATCCCGAGATTAAACCTTTTTCAAGGCTGTATCTATTAACGTCAAGGCGGTGAAAATGAATGTAAAAATATAGGAATGATAAACGCCAGTGGTTCCAAATCTAATTTCATATGTGTCGCAAAATATCAATCCATTTCCTAAGAAATTTATTTTTATGTGTCCGCATTCAGAAATAAAAATCGTATTAATTTTGAGAATATAATTTACGACTCGCGGTGATATCCAGTGGCGGTATAATCGTTTATATGCACAAAAACATGCTCACGAGTAGCATCGAATAAACGCATATAAAATGTAAAACTGTTCCTTGTCGTAAATTATCATTTAAAATGTCTATTTTTCTTATATAAACGTAGTGATTTGTATTAATTAGAGTGATTGTGTCGGGAGTTTGAGAAGAACCTCGAATTAGCATATATCACCTTCTCCTTGGGAGCGGCCAAATATGAAGGGTTTTCATCAGTCGAAGAAAAATAACTTTCTCTATAGTTTTAAAATACATTCTCTCGACGCTAACATTAAAAAATCATGCGTTTCAAATAATTTTGTTTATCATTTGATTTTAAACCTTGTGCCATCGCTTGTCAATAAACAGCATGAACGATGCGTATGGAACATATCTCAGTTAATACATGAATAAAGCTCATTTACAGCGCCAACTATATAAAAGGATAGATATCGTGAAGAAGAAAGTTTAGTGGCGTTTATTGCGTTGAGATGATAACGCACAGTTAATATTGGTATGACCGCTAAACCGTATTGCACATTCACTGACCGTATAACGACGCTGTTGCTTTTTAAGTAGAAAGTAGAAATTTCGAGTTGAAAAAATTTCCAAACATGAAACGACCCCGTAACACCCTGCAGGCTGAGCCGCTCGTTACGGCTACGTGTCAATACAACCGTACGCGCGCATTGTTTCCAAGAAATGAGCAACATAGAGAAAGGAAGTGGGGCAAACAATAAAGAATGATTAGTTTTGTGCGGACAGGGCCCGACCGATGGGATGAGTCGCGCTTTTTATCTCAACTTCGCACCGGCGTTTTGTGTCTTCATTTTAGTAAAAACACAACTCAATTTCAAAGCGTGGGCCATGTTACAGCAGTGACAAAACGGAGATCTGAAGCAGAACCCAAAAGCGAGAAACGATAAATTATTTTGTTATTTTGTTCGTGCTTTATATATCTTCATTAAAATAAAAAAACGCCATTTATGCAACATAACAATAACGGTACTCTCATTTGATCACTTTGGGGTTTTCCCGACTGTGGCCCTCAAGGCTTCTTCAAATTCTTTTGCAGCCTTCAATCTCGCAACCTTGGACCACCCTGATCTACCTCAACCTAACTAATCCGAACTTAATGAACGGAATCAAAAAATTGGTTCGAGGCTAACTGGATAAGTGAAGTGTTAAACGTGAACTTTGTGACCATTTGACAATTTTTACTTATACATAATTCAACTAGCTATGTTTATTCGCAACCCTCTTCTCAATAGTCTATAATAGTCAAGAATTTGCCCTCTTCATTAAAACTCATATGTTGCCCTTCAAAGTAGGGAATCGTTTATTTCAGAAAACCTTGTTTAGCTCGGAAAATGCATGATCAAAAATGAAGAAAAACAAACTTGACCAATTTCTTGCATGCATTACTTCACCAGATGGATGTACTCAATATTTATTCGTATCAGAGTCAACTACGGTCCAATTACCGTTTGAAAAAAAATATGATACGTATGTTTTATTGTCAGTGAACTGTATATACTTGCGTAATGCTGAGGCGTTGGATTAATTTACTTTTAATATACAGAACACACGACTCCTGCCGCATCCCATGATGGCCAGATCGATCCAAGTCCCTGATCAGCGTCGTTGGAATTGTTTCTGACAAGTAAATAAGCGTGGGTTCGCGTTGCTCCAGCTGTTGTCCATTGACCGGGGGCTGCTTGAATTCTTTTATACCCAGATATTTGGCCGTTCGATAACACTGCATTACCTTTCTGACAAAAATAAAAATAAATGAAAGAGAACTTTAAAAAGTTTATATAAATATCATCTGTGAATAGAATGATGAAATTGGTGATAAAAAAATTTTATACCTCAATTTACAATTTGCAAAATGAAACTTTCTGACAATATGTGTGTAACAGCCCTGTGATTTATACATTTAAATAAACTTCACGTACTTTATTTCGTTTCATTCCTGTCCAAACAAAAGTATACGATCTTCCAGCAGGAATTTTGTTTCTTACTAATTCCATGATTGCATTGTGTTCTCGCTCGGTAGAAATATCAGCTAATCTTGACCCTTTGTTCCTGCAAATTTGCTCAGCTTCGGCTACAGTGGTGTCTTCCGTAGAATGAACTTCGGTTAAAAAACATTTTGAATCGACTCTAACTCCACCCCGTATGCTTTCACATTGTTCTGAAAATAAGTAGACTGTGTTTGTTTCGTTTGATAAAAACATCGTTCCATTGCATTTCCATTACATTTACAGATATTCACACTGATATGCTCATGAACGCAAGATCTATAAAATATGTAATCAATTTTGTTAATTAAGAGCATCCACCTTCAAAACAATTATCATATGGGTAGTTGAAGTGTAGCTAAAAACGATCTTACCTCTTGCAATTATCCCTTCGATAATTGTAGAAACGTTCATTATTTTTTCCTCTAAATTTTTCATTTTTATTTCAATTTCTGATATAATAAAATATGTGTTATTAGGCATTAAAAGTAGAAAATATTGATGAGGATAATATTGATGGAGATCGTTTTACTTTCGCTCCAAATTATCGGTTTCATGTGCAATTGATTTTGTATTTATATGAAAAATCTTCCTTATATATAAAATGAGCAAAGAAACGGATAAATCACTGGAAAATTATAGAACAGCGCAATTAAATTTTATTTTGCAACCAGTTGAATTAATTGTTGAAAATTACCAGACAATGAGGAAAAAAACCTTAACTTGGGAGCTGCGAGAATCAGAAATGGTTATCGACAAGAGACGTACAATATTCTAATATACAATAAGAAATTAAAATATCTGAATTTTAGTTTTTTATTACGGTTATAAATTTTGACAACGTTATTAACAACATCAACCACAGAGATAACAGAAATAAACCATTAGTCCACATCCACACATTGCCAGAGTATTGCCTAGCGAATATTTAAGTATTAGAGTTGAGCGATGTTGTATGTTAGTATACAATGCCATGATGCTGTTTGTTGTTACAACTATTTTTAATCATACCTTTAGCAACTTCAACACGTACAAGCTCCGCCACTCTTTCATAATCTACTGTTCCTGGCTGACCCGACGCACCCGGGGGTCCAGTTTCGCCCTTCAATCCAGGTTGACCTCTCTTTCCCATGGGGCCTTGAAGTCTTCTAGCTGATGGTTGAGAATTCACGTCGTTGCTGTTAAATACATCGCTGACTTCTTTACATATCATATGCTTGTTTGTGTCTTGACCATTGGTAAAAAGGAGGGAAGAAAATAACAACAAAGAAGTAAACAACAACATCCTTCATTGAAATGTGTTTTATGATCTATTTATTGATAGGAATAAAAAGATATAAAAAAGGTGTGGTAATTCATTGCAATTAATATTTTGTAACATCATTATAAAGAAAAAATATATTATGACATTTTTCGAATTTGGTTCAATCACTACCGATACGGATTCCGGATAAACTTAAAATCTAAAGGATAAAGAATGTGCAAACAGGGTTATTTTGAGAATGGAAGCAGTTTTGAAATAACCTTAATCAACCCATTTTAAATAAATTTAGTTTACACTGTTCGATAGCGAATGTGAGTAGTTCTGCAAAATTAATAATCTAAACAGAAGAATAGTTTCCTTTGTTCAAATCTACAGCATCAACAATATTCGAAAATAGTGACGCATCTTACAACTATTTTTGCATCATTTGTTCACTAGTCCTATGTATTTATTGATTTAGTGCAACGATAGAACAACAAAAATTTAAATGTCTAACAGTTCAAGTTTCTCGCGCCGCAATTTCACTAATTCAATTCTGTTACGAAGCAGAAAATATTTTTCAACTCTTTCAACCTCTTTAAATATTATTTTTGGTTTGAAGTCCATTTGATGAATAAATTAGATTCAAAAAAATCTTATTTTTTCCTTCCTTTCATGAAACTAAAGTTTTAAATAATATTTCTTTTTATAATTAGCAGAGTTGCATTCAATTATGATGACATTGTTCCAGAGTATTTGATGCAGACTGAAAAATCTTAAAAACTTGACCTTTTATATAGAAGAGCGAGGATTGCTGTTGGGAATTACAAACACTATTAATCCATGACCTTAAAACTTAATGTCTGCGGTTTCAAGATTGTGGGATTTTATTTTGATGTTTGGAGGTAAGGTCATGAACGGCTAGAACTCATTAATTACACCTAATACGCACAGTTGCTTTGAACCACGTATTAAATATGCATAACCCCGTCATGTTTTGAGATTTTCACTTCCCTTGGGGCCCTGGGGTGTAGGGGTGTTGGTGGGGTGTTGGTTTAATTAAGATGGAAGAACAAAACTGAGGTCAGATCAAAAGGAGGCTGTGACGCACTTGAATCCTGATCAAAATTCATGTTCTACATCTGGTAATAGATCATAGCACTAGGCCCACGGGTACATCCGATTAAATTAAATGTGTGATCCAAACTAGTATCTCAACAAGTAATTAGGATAGGAAATACTTAAACCGACACCAGTTGTGCAACACCAAGCGTCTGCCATGCTGAAGGGCATTCGCGAAAGTTGCGATATTTTCATTGGCCTTTCAATAACTCATTGCACAACGGCGTGAGTAAATAAAATGTGATTGCGATTCAACTAAGACAGGGGTCACTAAACTTTTTTGACCGCGGGCCGTATATGACTCAAACTGTGTTGAAACGGACCGGGCAAATATTTTTGTCAATGCAATACAATGAATTCACAAACGTTGGGAAATCCATTCAATTTATTCAACAATATATATGCTATATTTCTGAAGACTTGAATATTAAATTCTATCTATATCGCAGAATATAAATTGAGAACATTCTAGGAAAACAAATATACACGATTTCTATATCTAGACAACTATCCTGAGTTTAGCTGTTATCAAAACGTTGCAGTCATGAATTAGGAATGTTACAAAATCCTCCTTTTCGCTCCAATAATGCACGGTACGCATCACGTCTGCTAAGTACCGTTACGTCGTGTCGGAATACCGCTCATAAAAACGACTACGGACTGCCTGCTGTAGCATGGATTTCCGTGAAATTTTGACATAATTTAGATAAAATAAACAACTATTATCTGGTATCTGACTTTTTTCATTAGCGCATAAATTTCCCAACATTCGGATTTTTAAAAGTTACGCTCTATTTATATACGTAGTACAGATTAATAATATTGTCTATGGACACCAATAAAATTTATGTGGACGTGTGTATTTCTTTTTATTTGCGACGATCTTTCGGCGGTATCAAGACCGTTGCCAGAATAAAATCCTGAAATAGTCTCAATATTTCATAGATGGGACGCAGATCGAAAGACTAGTGATTGATATGTGTTCTTTTTTAATATTTATTACAGTTCTTATGAAAAAAGTAATATAATCCTTATGAAAAAAATTGGCCTGTCTGGTGGTACTAAAATTCCGATATCTCCGTTATTTCTTGATCGTTTTTTATAAACTTGTTTTTAATGATAATGTTTCTTCTTGTTTTCACTCAGATCCACTAGCGCAGTTTTTATTTAAATCGGATAAACTTTAATTTTTTTGTAACATACCAAAATGAATATCCGCTTTAAAGCGGTACAAAAGTTAGTGTGACTTGTGAAATTGGAGCAGTACGCAAGGGATTACAGTATTGTTAGCGCAACATGCACATTCGACGTTTATTTTAGCACAAGAAACGTAAACAGTTTCGTCGAAAGCACGCGCCACGAGTGCATCTTTCGCAGAAAATGTTGAGTACCGGTAGAGAATTTTAGCCTATTTTGTCACAGCTATTTCTGGACTAATTTTTCATTACTACTATTAAAACTACAACTCCTAAGAAGGCAAATAATGATTGACGTATTTGATTCATACTTAAATTTCTCAAACACAACCAAAAACTAACGAATAGCATTCAAAATCGCAAAAACGAAGTATTGTTTACAACACCACTGAAAATCTGTCAGGGTGACAAAACAAAATTATTTAAGCGGATGCGAAAAGGCCTGTTATTACGTCACTTTTTTGCATCTTGCTGATTGACCAATGTTACGAAATAAACAAGGAAGACGATGCTCGGGGAAAATTTCCCTTGGCAAAAAAATTCACTATTTTGCGTGTTATTGCGGGCCGGATAAAATGACGCCGCGGGCCGGATCCGGCCCGCAGGCCGTAGTTTAGTGACCCCTGAACTAGGAGATTTCAAGTATTCAAAATATTTCAATATTCTTAGTAAATTTAACTTACCATCAGCAATGAGCTCGTTTATAAAGCTCACGTTTCATAAAATCCCTGTACGTGTAAAACTAAATACAAAAATCAAATCATTTTTTCGATTATCACAAGGCTATGAGCGGGAAGAATTCGTTCATGACACACAATCCGCAAATTGCTCAGAACTTTGTATTTAATATATATATATATATAACTTCGCCATGTTTCTGAGATTTTCAATTCCCTTGGGACAATGGGATTTAGAGGTCATTGGTTTAACTGAAATGGATTAACAAAACTGAGATCAGGTCAATAGAAGGCTGTGACGCACTTGAATCTTGAATCAAAACTCCATGTATGTTCTGCGTTTGGTATTAGATATACCAGATGTCGAGATGCAATTTGCAATCACGTGGTATTTATTCACGCCTTTATGTAATTTAAAATCCCAATAGAATTAACGCAACTTTCGGGAATACACTTCTACGTGACACACGCTTGGTGTATATTTTTTATCATAATTACTTGTTTAGTTACTATTTCGGATCACACATTAAATTTGATCGGATGTACCCGTGGGCTTGATGCTATGCATATACATTCAGTAAAACATCATGCATATACGGTCAATTGATATTCAAAAATAGTCGAGGATATATGGGTATCCACACAAAAAAATCAAGCTCTGATCAGAGCACTATCCGTATCAATCGCATCAAAATGAACGTTTTAAGTGTGCATGTGAACTTATAGAATTCTAGCTCTTAAATATTTTTTACACAAAATTATGCTGGCGAGTGTGCGAGTTAATATACTGTGAGCCAAACTTTATCGTATTTGTGCTCCAAAATTAAAATGAATACTCGACAATATAGGACTAATATATCCGATGCTCCCGTAGTATGTGCACCTGGAGTCCTAGATGGCGCACAACCTGAACAAGTACCAGGTTAGGGGTATAAGGATGTGCGCCAACTTGGTGCACATACTACGAACATCTATGCAAATCTATTGAATACCTTTATTTTGGATGTTGAATCAATTAAGCGTTTTTCAATTTATTTTGCTTTTCTCTCTGAACATTTATGTGTAAAAAATCATCTTTAATTGCATTCGTTCTTGGATATGAATATTCTTATTTCAACTAAGAGATATTAGATATTAAAATATTTCAATAATCTTAGTAATTTCAACTTAACATCAGCAATGAGCTTGTTACCAAGCACACGTATTGGCAAACTTCTGTATTTTTAAAATTAAATACGGAAGGCAAATCATTTCTCGATTATCCCAAGGTCATGAACGGGAAGAACTCGTTCATGACACACAATTACCAAATTGCTCAAAACCTTGTATTCAATCTGTATAACCTCGCCATGTTTTCGAAATGATCACCTCCCTTGGGACAATGGGGTGTAGAGTTTATAGGTTTAATTAAGATGGATGAACAAAACCGAGGTGTGTTTGATAGAAAACTATGTCGCACTGAAAACCTAATCAAAATTCTATGTTCTATATTTGTTATTATATATACCAGATGTCGAGATGCAATTTGCAATTACATGTTATTTACTTACGCCGTTATGTAATTAAAGCATCTAATGAGTTATTGAAAGGCCAATGGAAATACCGCAAATTTCACGAATGCACTTCAACATGACAGACGCTTGTTGTTGCACATCCGGTGTCGGTTTAAATAATTACGAATCCTGATTACTTGTTTAGATAATAGTTCGGATCACACATGAAATGATCGGGTGTACCCATCAGCTTAGTTCTGTGCATAAACAGTTAATCGATATACAAAAATAATCGAGAAAATATATGAGCATGCAACCAATTCTATCAAGCTTTGATTAGAGCACTTGGGATCTAGATACTGGTGATGTAATTGTATCAAACTTTGAACATTTTGAAATGTGGGTCAACTTATTGAATCATCCCTGTTAAATATTTATATAGCAAAATTATTCTGGCAAATGTGCGATTTTTTTTTGCTCTTCTCTTTGAACAGTTTTGTGTAAGAATTTTATCCTAAATTGCATTCGTTTTTGAATATGCTTATTGGTATTTTAACTAAGAGATAAGTATTTAA